GCATCCACACCAGTAGGTGTCAGTATAAAGTCTAAGAACACTGCCATGTCGGAGATTGTAGTTAAAAATGACTTTCACCTATAATAATGACTTATTGCAAGATCATGAATTAAAATAAATGGTACCAAATACTTCAAGGCAGCCAAATGGTGGAACGAAACCCAGTAGCCCAGTCTTACAATATTTGTTCATTTTGAGGACCAGCCTTTTATTGTTTGCAGTGACACTATGCACATGCAAGTGCATATGCAATGTCTCCTAGACCTCCAGGCTGTGACCACAAATGCCCTTCCCCTATAGTCAGTAGTTATCAAGAGAATCTTTTATTATAGAAGCATTCATTATATTTTATAGCCTTATTCCCTCTGGTTACAGTACAACTTAATTTCATAAACTGTTTTAGCTCCTTTGTATGTGTGACTGTGCTTGTAAAGAGGTAAAGTCATAATCACCCCACAGGCAATAACACTTTTGCAATGATATTTTATTCTCTTGACACACAGTTTCCTTTTATAAGGAGCTTCTGTCAAGGCAGAATTTTGTGCCATATTTACCTTGTAGTCCCTCTCCTAGTCTGACTGCTGAAAATATCTTTTATCCTTGTCGATGTTAACACACCTCCAAGAATATCCTTCTAGCTTTTCAACATGCCACCTGAGTGATCCTCATTTCCTAATGGCAGTCAATGGAGGACAATCCCATAATCCATCCGAAGTGTGTCACTGACCTAGCGACACTAGTTTCTGGGCTGTAGCCAGTCCAAAGTTAACTTACTGACAAATGATGGTGAAAATGCTGGACATACTGTAAATATTTGTTATACATCACAAAATTGGTTTTTGCATGATTGTGTTTTATGCAACAGATAGTTCTGGTCGAATTTGATTGGCCGAACGGCTTTCCAAAAGTGCTAGAGTTTAGAACCAATGCTGATTGAAAAAATGTTCCTCTAACTACATGTCTGCACAAAAACGTATCTAATGTATACTGTACATACAATTCTCTGCTGTTTTCAGATGAAATAAACACGTTGCAGTAAAACACCAACAACTTTTATTCTTTTTCACACAAATTATGATTGCAGGGGCAAAGTATCTGTTAATAGAAAGAACAGTTAAAGAATTTTGTTTTTGTGTGATTCCATGCACAATATTGTGTACCTCAAAACACTTTTACCATAGTGCATGATTTGTAAACTAATACATTTTCACATTGCATCACAGAAACGGCTCCATATAGTAAACTTGCTCAGTAGCTCCCCCCGGGTACAGTGTTGCACTTGCAATGTGAAGTACTCGTGAAAAAAGGAGTCAAGTCAAAAAAGTTCAGAAACTTGTATAAACAAGCTAAACGGCATGAATAGTTCATCAAAAGTGTTTTGTTAACACAGCTGGTTAGGTTTAGGGTTTTGTGTAGGTGGTAGTCTACATTATTTTAATATGTGATAGTGTTAATCTTTTAGTGCCACTCGTGAGATATTTCATTTCCCAGATATTTCATACATACTACACTCAACGTAATAAAATGTTGCCAGATTGTTTCAGATTAGCGCCACTTACTGGACATTTCACATTGAAAGTGTCGTGAAACATGCAGGAAGCAACATAATGTCATTTTGCAAAACTGTCGCCACTAGGGATGTGCGCGACGACTAATTTGACTGTCGTTTAAACGAAAGTTTTGTATCCGACTAGTCGACTAGTCTAAAAGCAAGAAACCCCCAAAAGATGGTAAGAAAAAAAAAATCTCTGTGCGTGCGTGTAGCATAGCCTACAGTGGGTACGGAAAGTATTCAGACCGCCTTAAATTTTTCACTCTTTGTTATATTGCAGCCATTTGCTAAAATCATTTAAGTTAATTTTTTTTCCTCATTAATGTACACACAGCAGCCCATATTGACAGAAAAACACAGAATTGTTGACATTTTTGCAGATTTATTAAAAAAGAAAAACTGAAATATCACATGGTCCTAAGTATTCAGACCCTTTGCTGTGACACTCATATATTTAACTCAGGTGCTGTCCATTTCTTCTGATCATTGAATATGATTACGCATCGCTCCAGTATAGTTATTGTAAGACAATTTGAAACTACACAGTTTACTCAAAACTTTTCCGTTTCCTTCTAATTCAAAATAATCCCACACCTTCTCATCTTTCGCATGGTCATTTGTTAACTCGCCGCAACTGACACGAACAAAAACGCATGTGAGGTCTGAGGTAAAAATGTAGTTTCCGCCCAGATAAACTTTAAAAAATAATGTATTATTTTTCAAACGTTTTATTTTAACTTGTTATTTAAAATGTTAAAATGATGGTAATGTGAATGATAAAACCCTGTTTTTTTTTTTTTGTTCTTTTGTTTTCAGTGTTGACTAGTAGGAGCTGTACCGTTTAGTCGACTTGTCGACTAGACCCGCACATCCCTAGTCGCCACATGCTTTACTGTTTGTAGCACTTACTGTAACTTGTTTGTGGCATTCCAGACCAGAGTATGTGAGCGGCATGGTAACAGAGTTTTAAGATTTTTGCCTGGAGCGAGAACTGGAAAATTTGAATGTGCAATATGGTTATACATACACACACACACAAAAAAGTTTACATTTGAAATGTAAATTACTCAGTATTAACCAAAGATCACACAATTGTGTCGCTCATTGCATTATTCATTTGCTAGTTTTTTTTGTTTTTTTTTGGCCCGTCTTCAGTGACACAAGGGCACTTCTTGCTAAAACATTGAAAACCACATTTTCTGAGGAATAAGTTGCTGGACTTTTTATTAGTAAAGTACTATTATCCTTTTTCTTTGATTAATTCACAACACTCAACTGTCTTAAGTTGCATTTCCTTTAACACTAGAACCGCCACGGGGTAAATTTTACCCGTGACTGTTTTTCAAATGTACATAACAGATTTAAAATAAAACATTCAAGTCTCCCAGTCATTGACTTTTACTAAAATTATGTAATTTACAATCCAATGTTGTTAAAAATTATTTAGATAAAACCAGATCAAAAACGGGGCATTTATACCTATAAGCGCCAGCAGGTCAAATTTACCCGCTATATAATGCATGTATTTTCGCGCTGTAATTTTCTTGCCGCTTATATTTTAACATTGTACATTTCTAGGCAACGCCTTTCACTCACTGATTTAGCGATTTTGAGTTTCATAAATAAAGTCAAAATGACAAAAAAAAGGCGATTTATGGAAGGTAGGTATTAGAAACACTAAATGCCATGAGTGATGGAGAGTCTGATGGTAAGTTATGCATCCTGGGTCGGCTTAGCATCTGACGGCTCATCTGACAGTGATCCAGATATCATATGTTCATGTTTTAGCCTAACGTTACTCTAATTGGTCAAACTTTGGTTTAATTATTTAATTTTTGTCTTGCCATATCGTTTATTGTTGCTACTGTGTTGCTATTCTAGTCTGGTCGTTTCCTGAAGAAAAAAAAAATCCGATCTATATGATGTAATGAATAAAACCATTTTTTGATTACCCAAAATTTAATGGTGTTGTTCTCTTATTCAAATTATAAAAGATATAACTAAACAAATTAATAAATATTTAGGTGAACCTGTGCGCTTGAATTTTTCATCGCATCGTCCTATGCAGTGGGGTGAATTATTATTGCTCATTATTGTCTATAGGCTGTTTTAGTCATTCATAGCATGGGTTATCTTAATATATTGATTAATGACATTGTATTATAATATTAAACCACCCAAATATTTAGGCTACTACCTTCTAATTGTCACTGTCAGTGCAGACTTTTTTTTTTTTTTTTAAGCTTAGGCTACTGACCATTATGGATTAGTGTAGCCTGCATTAAAAATATAGTTGATGACTAGACATAATCATTTCATGATTCTAGACACTTCTTTGTGAAGACAGTGGCATAATACAGCGAAATAATATGTTCTTTAGCCATATAAATACAGTTGTCATGTGCGTGGGTAAAATTTACCCACTGGCGCTTTTAGGTATACAGCGACCCCTGGTGGTTCTAGTGTTAAAGGGCTCATATAACGTTGCTAAAAAAGAACATTATTTTGTGTATTTGGTGTAATGAAATGTGTTTATGTGGTTTAAGGTTAAAAAAAAAAACAATATTTTCCACATACTGTACATTATTGTTTCTCCTCTATGCCCCGACTTTCTGAAACGTGTCGATTTTTACAAAGCTCATCGGTCTGAAAAGCGAGGTGTGCTCTGATTGGCCAGCTATCCAGTGCGTTGTGATTGGCCAAATACCTCAAGTGTGTGACGGAAATGTTACAGCATGTGCGCCGAAGGGGAAACAGGGGAACTGAATTCCTCGGAACACCGGCATTGTAGGCTACTCTCCCAGGAAACAGTCCTCATCCTGAAATCGCATCATATGACCCCTTTAAAAGTTATTGGCTAACTGGTTTTAGCATGTCAAAACAGTGAAGAAGCTGTTTGATTGCTTTATATGTCCGTCAGACAGTCTCTTCCTGTCTAAGTGTGTAGATCTTGGCTTGAATAAGCTGTGATGTGGACCAAACCTTGTGTTTATAGTCAAATTTCAGCTCTGCAAGGCTATCAGCTAACTGGACGGTAGTGAAAAGAATATAATAAGCAATCCTAGTGTTGTAGCATGCAACTATTTTTTGATAAACAACATTTTGGTCAAAGACCTTCTTCAGGCATTTTTCATAATACTTGCCTACACAGCTGCTGGCATCCAGGTGGACGAGAGGTATTTATTTATTAGTTTTCTTGCCAAAGGCAATTTTATTTGCATTTGGCACTTGGCAAGTGTTAATTTTGCACCCCAGCTGTAGCCATTTCCATGTGTTCTCTTGCTCTCCCTCTCTCTCTGAGAATGATTTAAACTGCTCAGAAGAGTCACTATAATGGATGCTCATAGATTCAGTGTGCTGTATGCAATATAAATGGTAATGATATAGAACCAATAATACTGCTTATGAAATATAAAGTGAATGTGTGCGGTCATTGTCTCATTTACAGATGGTGAGAGGCCGATGGAGGGAACTGATACCAGCCGTAAGAGAGACTCGCGTTCATCAGACAAGTACCGTAAAAGCGAAGATGCCAGCAACAGCCAGGAGGAGGAAAATGCAGTAAGATTGTTTGTTTGTTTTGAAATTATGATTTTTTTTTTTAAATACAGGGCTTAAAAAAGATTGTATTGAATTTGCACTTGTAGTGTACTGTAAATCTTAAAAGTATATTTTTTAAAAACTTTCATTGACACTGTCATAACTGTTAACAATCTTCAGCACACTTTTTTTTTTAAAGTGCACTTTGTAATGTCAAATTAAAAGCTTTAAAGAACATTCTAAATCACTGTTTTAATAATATTTTGTCATGCTTTAAAGAAGTACACTTTATTATTATTTAGTACATTTTAGTATTTTGATGTGCACATATAAAGTATTTGGTTATAATTTTAAAACTGTGTCATTTGCTATTACATTTAAAGTTAAAATATTTCAAATGTATAAAATGTGATAAATTGCAGCTTTATAATTACAAATGTGTAACTACAAATAAATTTAAATACACAACACGTTTCAATAGAAATTACATTAAAATATATTTTGGTTTATCATATACATTTGGCAATACCATATTTCAAATACAATAAAAGTAATTATGAAATTACATATAAATAGATATTAAGATACTGTACGTTAAAAACATATTAAGTCCTACTTGAGTTAAAACACTCTAAAGTTAAACTAATTGTGTTTAAGTTGATTTAAAAAAAATATATATTAGATTTATTATTTATTTAATATTTAAAGGGGTCATATGATGCGATTTCAATTTTTCCTTTCTCTTTGAAGTGTTACAAGCTCTTGGTGCATAAAGAAGATCTGTAAAGTTGCAAAGACTAAAGTCTCAAATCCAAAGAGATATTCTTTATAAAAGTCAACCACGCCTACCTAAAACGGCTCGTTCTATCACGTCCCCACATGTCTACGTCACTATGTGGGAAGATTTGCATAACGCCGCCCAAATGTTCACGCAAAGAAAGAAGGCGTAACTTTTATTCTCGCTGTAGTATTGTTGTTGCTGCCGCCATGTCGTGAAGGCGCTGTGTTTCGTTGTGAAATCGAAACTACGTCCAAATGCTCTCCGCATCACTCACAGGACCAATAAAACCTCAGTGTCAAATAAAATCAGTTGCACAGCCATATCTGGATACAAACGAATAACCTGCAGGATCTTGCACAAAGAGAGATATTTATTTTTATTTTTTTTACTTATAGTCCATATCTGCTAGCTTTGAAGTCATCTATATAGTGTACAAGTTGACAGAATTAACTTTAAGCAGATTTATGAATCTTGTTTCGATAGGAAATATGTCAACAAACGAAAGCAAATTGTGTTCGTCAAAGCATAGCATGGGATTTTTAATTCTATGGCTTTAAAGATGCGAGGGAAGGATTTATCAAGTCATAAAGGAATGAAGATTGCAGAAGATGATGTGGACAAACAGAGAGTCTGTGACAGATGCTGTGCTGGTGGAGTGATTTATGTGTGTGGAGATAAATCTATCATTTCCTGTGCTGTGCTGTGAATACATTACTGCTGTTTAGTTCTGCTTCATAATCTCAATGTCACATGCAGGCTCTACACGAAAAGTTTGTCCCTAAGCAGTTTTCTTTCAGTCAGAAGTTCAGGAATGATGTAGAATTATGGCCAGAAGTTTGCAAAGCCCTTGTTTAGAAACAGTTCATAATTTAATACCCACACAATCATCTACATACAATCTTCACCTTCAAGCTGTTGCCTATTAATCTGCAGCACTTGACTGTTCATTTATTATTAATGGTTTGCAAGTGGAAATAGGTGTACAGAGTTAATCATAACTTATTTTTTTATAGGGCTAAAATAAAAATTGTAGTAAATGTGCATGAAGATGTATACATTTATGGTAACATTGTTTTACATTTTTTCATAAATATAAAAAAAAAGAAATATATGGTATAATAACATAACCGTTTAATATAATATCATTGAATATAATTATTGTCACATTTTATTCCACTATTACAATAAAAAATACTGGTTGCCAGAAATAGCAAAATAGTCAATTCAGTAACTGCACTTAAAATATACTGTACAATATTTGTAAACATTTAGCCCTATATGGCACTTTTAGTGTCATTTTAAAAGTACAAATATCCATGGTCATTTAATATGAGATCATCAGACCTACAGCTATTTTAATACATATTAGCTATAAAAGAATGAGCAAAATGCTGCTTAAAACAGTTGAATCTATTGCATATTCATATCACAAAAGTATTTTAATAACAACCACCTACTAGATATCCTTCAGTGCAAATTTAAGTGAATGATATCTAGTCAGTTCTAATTGCAGTACACAGATTTGAAAATGTGACTCAAACCAATTTCATGTTAAATTAATGTTGTAATAGTTTTGTAATTAATTAAAATTAGAAGTGGTTAAAGGTCTGGATCTTTTAGCAAAGCACTGTGGGCTATATAGCATTGTACTGTCAGATACTGGTCTCCATGGTAACACTGAATACTCAGTACACTCCTGTTGGATTATTTCCAAACTTACACCAATAACATAGACTCAGGGCGGAGAGAACAGTATTTGTGTGTGTGTGTGTGTGTGTGTGTGTGTGTGTTTGTGCGCCCATGTGACTGGAGCCACAGGGATGTATTGGACTCTGTTGGATGTTTTTTTTAACATTATACACATCTCTCTGATACGGTATTAGACAATCCGTTTATCAATTCTTTATCAATTCTTTGTTCTCATATATACTCTTTTAGTCACATTTTCACAACCGGCCAGAGCACAAAGGCTTCTCTGACTTTAGAGTACTTTGAATAGCTCACAAATTTGTTATAACACATATTTAAAGAAACAGTTCACCCCAAAAAAGAAAATGCTGTCAATTTCCCACCCTAATGTTCTTCCCCTATATCATGTAATTTCTTCAGTGTGACAAAAAGGTAGCAATTTCGAGGAGTTTTGCAGTGACCACAGCCTGTCAACCTCCAAACAATTAAAATAAGCACCTTAGAGGTGTCATTAAGGTAGTGTATATAAATATCTATATTCAATGTTTTCTGAAGCTGTATATTAGCTTTATGTGAGGAAGAGACAGAAATTTAAGTCATTGTTAACTGATAGTCTTCCTTTCCTCTTTAGAGCTTGACAGCCCATGACAGTTGTGTCCAATCCTGTTCTTGGAGGGCCACTGTCCTGCAGAGTTTAGTTCCAACCCCAATTAAATACACCTGAACCAGCTAATCAAGGTCTTACTAGGTATACTAGAAACGTCCAGGCAGGTATGTTGAGGCAAGTTGGAGCTAAACTCTGCAGGACAGTGGTCCTCCAGGACTGAATTTGGACACCCCTGGTCTATGGTCACTGTTTCCATTGTAAGGAATAAAACAGCAGGCATTCTTCAAGGTTTCTCCTCTTGAGTTTCACTGATGAAAGAAGGTCATGCAGGTTTGGAAGGATGAGGGTAAGTAAATAATGCAAATATATTCCGTTCTGGATGAACTGTTCATTAAAATCACTTACTCTTTTCACCTTCCACTTGTCTATGAATGTTACTCCAAGGGTTGATGTGGCAGCACTGAATGGTGCGGAATTGGAGGTGGGAGTGTTTTGGGTATCATCCATATTAATGACTCTCAGGACTTCTTTAAGGTGAGACCTTGCATCTGAGCTCAGCATTCACAGCTGAAAGGCAGAAGAACCACCATCAGACATTCTGAAGAGCTTCTCACTTTGTTGAGCACTGGATACACCTTACATACCCGAACAGAACAACAGAACTCTTGACAATTGCAAGAGGTTTGCTGTCTCCAGGCAAACAGACAATAATTCCACTCAGTCTGTGGCCAGCCTCTTCTTATAATTGCCTGGAAATGGTTGATGATGCCATTTCTGGGCCCTAGAAGTAGTAATGGGTCCACTTAGGCACTAACCGCAATTGATTGTTTAAATGTCTACTGCAAGCAGACATTGTGGAGTAGGGAGGTCTCTGGGTTCATAAGCAGTTCCTACAGTCACTTCATGCATTTTCTATTATCGGATAGCTATCTGATTTTGTTAAAATGGTTCCATTTAGACTTGGCCACATTAATGTGTCTCCGCAAAAAACGGATATAAATCCGATCTGCAATTCCCGCGCTATGTGCAAATTTCACATGAACAAATGTTTGCATGTCGGTTTGCTGAAGAGATGCTCAGCTACTCATCCACGGCGATGCGTGTAGCATTAGCGCTGTCATATCTGGCTATGACATGACATATAGCTTATAACACTCTGTCACACACGTTTATTATTTTAACATTTTGGGAGGAGTAAAATTTATATATAGCTATCCGATCAGAGAAAATGTATGAAGAGACCGGGTGTAAACAGGTCCAGAGAGACCAAGAAGCCACTAAGAAACTTGAGGTAATGTACGCAGATCTGCCCTTAAGACAAGGTGTAGGCATTCAATGTGGAATATATTTATCTCAAGGCAGAGATTAAAGGAAGAAACATTCTTCAAGAAGTCATTAGGAGCAACTTTCGGCGGGACTTCTAATTGCCATCCAAAGTGTATGGTACACTAATTGATGGAGTAGTTCTCTTTGAGCAACTTGGGTTCCCTGAATAGCTTGGTTACGGCACAGTGACTAAACCAGGGGTGCCCATTCCTGCTAATATCCTGCAGTTTAGCTACAACCTGCTCCAAAACACCTGCCTGGAGGTGTCTAGATCTTGTAAATACCTTGGTTACCTGGTTCAGGTGTGTTTAATTATGGGTTGTAGCTCAACTTTGAAGGGAGTTGGTCCTGCAGGAGCAGGATTGGGCACCCCTGGACTAAACTTTCAGATTCTGGGTTACCTAATACTTGGGACTTAGCCTACAACCATTTTAGCATCCTTCACAGTTACACTAAAATATTTTGACACTTGTAGAACAAAGACGTTATAGATTCCAATAGACAATTATCCTCTTTTCAAGAAGGATTCTTATACTTTGTCCTTCTGTGATCTAGATTTAATCAATATATAGATATGGTACGATAAAATGTTATATGTTGTTTTTCTGTCTTGTGGTG